AGTATAAACACAGAAATAGTAATCTCACTGTTTCCTATTTTTTAAAAATGCTGGCTCTGATCCTTGCCTTTTACATTTTTGCCAGCATTTCTGCTGCAGGGCCAGCTGAAGTTGTCGCCTAAGATGAGGCCGGAAGCATTCCAGATATTGGCAGCGGAGGGTCTCCAAATTCCCTGTGGGCCTCCAGTGTTATCCCACGGAGGCGGTTGGCTACATTTGAGAGAAAGCCCAAAGGGGCGCCGAGCAGACATCTGGGAGTCTCCAACGCCTGTCTGAGTGGACACAATACCCAGTGTTTCCAGGCAGCTTCTTCGGCCTCTGCTGGGCGTTTTGGGGTCCCTGAGCCCTGGAAGAGCCCTCAGTGGGGTCAGGAGGCCGAGGCGTGTAGACTATCGCTGTGGCTGTGGAGGGGCTGGATTGGAAGGGAAAGGTCCCGCAGGGGCGGTAGAGGGGTGTTGCTGAGTAAGGAAATGCCACAGTCTCCTTTAGTGCACTTCTGACATTTCTATTAAAACATCCCAGAAAAGCCTTTTCTTTTTTCTATCCCACATGCAGCAAAACAAAACGATCCTGCAGCCAAAGGCCTGCAATTTGGTCTTTTTAAAATTTGGTTCTTTTAGAAAAAAATGTTTTTTAGTCGTCCATGCTTGTAGGACATACTGATTACATTTATTGCGGGGAGTTTGTACGTGTGCATAGCACACCTTAATTCTTCTTTTTTTTTGTCAGCTTCCCCTCCCATCCCTCTCTGTTCCCTTCCGATCTTCTTCCCCTTCCAGTGAATGGATGCACCTCGAGACCGTAATGTCAAGTGAAAGAAATCAGACACACAAGCTTAAAAAGCACGTGGCTTTTCTTATATGAGAACCCCAAAGTATAAATAAAGGGCTGAATAAAAGATGATAGGAAGTAGGGAGATAGATCTTTTGGAAATGAAGGGAGGGAAAGGGGATTTAAAATAAAAGGAGAGAATTGAGAAAGAAATGGAAATAGACCCACAGCTTCTGGCCCTGAAATTCACTCCCGGGCTGCGGAGCTTTTTACACCAGGCGTGGGCAGGGTTCCCGGCACATTGGTCCCGTGTTTCGGACTCAGCTGCGCCCGAGACCGCCCCACTCAGAACCGTGCGGTCGCAGCGGTTTCCAGGGATTTTCGGGGATTTGCGTGCACCCCCTCCCCCATCCTTTTCCAGAAAATTCTCTCTTGGGAGAAGTTTTGCTTTGGGAAGGGGGTGGGGTAGCATGTAGGAGAGTAGGTGGGCAACGATTGGGTATGAAATCAAGAGAATCATTGGAAGATAGGACCTTCTCATAGTCGTTACGAGTGAACCCCGGAAATGTTCATGCCCTCCTGAAAGGCGGCAAGCAGATGCCTGTTTTTTCTCTTGCCCTCCCCGCTAGCAGAACACAGCTTAATAAAAACCAAAAGGGAACCCAGCCGCCGTGGCACATGTCTGTGATCTCAGCGCTATGGACGGCGGAAGCCAGACTTGGAGCCCAGCCTAGGCAGTTTAGCGACTTGGGGAGAGAAGACCCTGTCTGGAAATAAACAAACAAACAAAGAAATAAATGCACACGGGGCTGGGGGACTGCAGTTCCGTGCAAAGGTCCTGGGTTCAATTCCCACTACACAAAATTAAGTAAGTAACGTCAAAATGAACAGGGGCCGGGCCTTTCAGTTCATAAGCGCTCATGGGACTGTGACTTTGCACCCAGCCCTGCCGTTTGCGCCCTGGGCTGTATTTTGCACCTGGCTGTGCACTTTGCACCCGGTTCTGCACTTGGCTCCTGGGGCCATATTTTGCACACAGCCACCCTCGGCACAGGCTCCCTCCAACTTTGAATACAGAAGCATCCAATGGGGGGAGCGATGTGTAAACTAGGAGCGGACAATGGCCGCTGCTCCTGCCGGACACGTGGTGGGCCGCAGGACACAAGGTGAACCTGGTGGTCTCTGTGGAGTCAATAGAGAGCTGGATTCGGATCTACCCTGCACCCTGGGGGGCTTCTTGGCGACTTCAAATTCCCTGCTCACCCCCAGACAGAGCGGGGGGCAGGGGTGGAGCGAGGGTCCGTCTATTTGTAAGGGGGGAGGGGCGGGAGGAGGGGGCGGAGACACCGCAAGTGCTCAGGTGCCAGAGCGCTGTGTGCAGCTGCGCCGTGGGGTGGTGGGGCGGCAGGCTTACATATGCCCTGAACCGCCGCGCCTCGTTGTCCTGCCTGCGCCGCGTAGGTGGTGCCGGACGGACCCATCGGGTCCCCGGCCCCGCAGGAGCTCCGGCCTGGAGGCATCTCCAAGAGGTAGGGCGCGGGGCCCAGGGCACGGAGGGCAACCCAGATGGCAGGGAATTTCTCGCAGGACCCCTTGCTGGAAGCGGTATCCCCCTAGGGAGCCCTGAAGGGCCCTCTGGCATTCCTAGGCCTGGAAAATTCAGATGGGCCTAGTAGAGTTGGGCCCTTCCTCTCCGGACCTCTGCCTGCTTCCACTGACCAGACGTTTGCCAGGATGGCGCAGGGAATACATGGGGGGGGGTGACTGTGAAGGGGCGTGCGGAACCCTGAGTTTGTTAAACCGTGTTCTCTGTTACCCAGGCGGGCCCTGAATATATGGACTCAAGCACTCCTCCTGCCTCAGCTTCCCAGAGCTTCCGTTTGCTGGGAGACTAGGAATGGGCAGGCACCACTAGGATCCGCTTCATGGGGGTGGGGAGGAGCACAGAGGAAGGGGGTGGGAGCTGAGCTTGGACAGAGTGGGGGTGGGGCTTGGTGGCATGAGTGGGCCGCAGTAATGGATGGAGTCTGGGGGAGGTGCGAGGACTGGGGGGGCGCGCTTGGGAAGGGGGCGGAGCTTTATTGGGAGGGGAGGGCCCTTCCCCACAGCAGGAGGTCTGTGCTGTACGTTGCCCTCAGCAGATGCTGTCCTGTGTCAGGGGCTCTGTGTCTGTGGCTTCCCACAGAGCCCGGGAGTCATACTTCTGTTCCCCAGGCAAGTGAACTCCGGGGCTGGGGACTGCGGGGCCTTTAATCTGGCCCCTCACCAATCTATGTATATACCATGGCTGGTCCCCATCAATGGGGATGTGTACGTAGAGGGTCCTCATGGGTATAGATGCAGGGAACGAGAGCAGGAACACAGGATTCCTAAAACTGGAACCCACTTGTTTGAGAGAAACCTGCTTTGCCAAGTGACTTTTCATAATGAGAAACATTAGTGCAATAGCCCCTAGGTCCCTACTCCGTGGTAGAAGCTCCCTTGAGTGACATGTGTTTCATCTTTAGAATTCCTGTCTCCAGGTTGGATCAAGACTCAAACGTGATGTAGATTGCATTTCATTATACATGGCTTAGTTACTTTTTTCATTGTGGAGACAAAATACCCAATACCCAAAGTTAAAGGCGGAAAGGTTCATTTCAGCTCACAGGTTGTAGAGGTTTCAGTACATAGTCAGCTGGCGCCAACCTGGGGTGGCATGGTAGAGGGGCATTGCAGAGGAGAAACAGTCCACAGTGCAGTAGGCAGGAAGCAGCAAGCAGAGAAACAGCAGAAGCAGCAGCAGCAGCAGCAAGCCTGCCTCTCCCTTTCACCCCATCCAGGTTACCAGCCTTTTAGGTGGTGCCATCCACACCCATGGTGGACCTTCCCAATATTCACACCCAGAACTATGCTAAACCAATCAGTGGACTACTTTAGTAATCACACACCCTTAATCCATATTCACACACCCTAGATCCAGCCACCTCTGAAAAGACCCACCTATGACAACATGAGGCTGTGGGGGGACATGTAGATGCACTCCATAACGGTACAAAATTTGGAAGCATGCCTCATTTGATAGGCAGAACAACAATGCAACAATATTTAAAACGACTGGGGCACTGGCCTTAAAGAGCAAGATGAAATAGTTGAAATAGTCTTGCCTACTGGCACACATGCAGTCTACATTGGGTGGCATCTCTTAAGAGGGCCTTTGAATGTATGTATTAAGAATTAATGTCAAATAGCCAGGGATTTAGCTCAGTGGTGCTGCCACCTGTCTCGAAAGCACAAGGTCCTGAGTTCGATCCCTGGTACAAAAAAAAAAAAAAAAAAGAATTAATGTCAAGGAACAGTTGAAGGGACCAGGAATGGTTAAATGGGAGGAGCTGTCTGAGAGAGAGACCCTGAGAAGTAGCTTCATCAGTTTTAGGGGCTGGCATTTAGGAGAAGAACTAGAGACAGTGAGTGACAATAAAAAGGAAACCGATTTTAATCAAAATAAGTTTTAACTGAGGAGTTCTTTTTCTGAATGTGGTATTTACATACAATGGAGTATAACTGTGCCATAAAAAGATAAGCTTGACGGGACCGGGGATTTAGCTCAGTGGTTCCGCCACCTGCCTTGCAAGCACAAGGTCCCGAGTTCAATCCCTGGTACCGGGGAAAAAAAAAAACAAAAAAAAACATAAGCATGAATCTTTGTGGGAAAATGGATGCACCCTGAGACCATAATTTTAAATGAAATAAAGCAGACATATGAGTTTAAATACCACATGTCCCCCCGTTTGGCTTTTTATTTTGTTTCTTTGAGACAAGGTGTCACTACGTAGTCCAGGCTGGCCTTGAACTCACTATGCAGCCTAGGCAGCGATCCTCCTGCCTCAGCCTCCTGAGCGCTCACATGGACTAATAAAAAATAAAAAAGAGAATGTCACACTATAAAACAATTCCTTTTCTAAAACTGAGGCTGTCCACAGGCAGAATGGGCTTGGAGAGGACCGAGCTTCCAGTCACCAGACATGTGCAGCAAGGACTAGGGTGCCATCTGTCTGTCATAGTGTTGAAGGAGAGGACGGACCAAAAAGACTTCCCTCTCTCAGACTTGTGGAGTCTGCAGCTCCACCTTCTGTGCAAGCATGGTTGCTATATCTTGCTATTAAGAACTTAGTTGCTTTTGTAAAGAGGAAGGATTCAGTAAACCACATAGCTGAATACACCAAGTTATTACACTTAAAACAAGAAACTTTAACGCTGACATGTGCAGTATCTTAACATTTATTCAAACTGTGTACATTGATGTGGGCTAAGCAGGTACAATTAGAAACACTAAGCAATTGAAAAGAAGCGAAAACGTCATGCAATCATCCCTCTTCCTTAAGTCTGCAGAATTCTCTGCCAAAAAGCACATGAAAGGCTGTTCTGGACCAAAGCCCACACTGATCTTGCAAGCTGTCTTTGAGGACCTTGCGTGCTGCTTCTGAAGTGTATCTGTCAGGGGAAGCCAGTCTGTCCCAGGCCTCGTCCCCCTGCATTCCAGCAGCAGGCCCACACTGACACTCTGGGGTGGCATCAGCACCATCCGAGTGCCAAGTCCCGTGGTTCCTATTTAGTGTGGTTACGCGGCACACTGTACCACACATACCTATGCAGATAAACGGGATGGCCCTCTGGGACAGTGTGGCAGGAAGAGCAAACAAATCCATAAGCCAATGTACATAGGGCTCAGAAGTGAAGAAAGACGGGGAGGCATTTTAGAGGACATCAAGAGAAGAGGCCTTTGTCTTGCAGCCAAAAACAAACAAACAAACTAACAAATAAACAAACTCTAAGGCTATTCTTCCTCTTGAGAAGCTCACAAAGCAAAGCTTGACCCACAGGCTACAGCAGAGCACCGGGGAAGCTGAACACAGCATCAGCGAAGTGTACGGAGGGCTCGCGCCTGAGCAACCCCCCAACAGATCTGGGGCCCAGGATGGCTGCTAGCCAGAGGCAGTCTGCACTGGGGAGCAGGGGTCACTGAAGGCCTGCTGGAGCTGCCTCTGAGCTGACAAGCCCCTCTGGGAATGCATGTGAGTCAGCTGTGCCCAGCTCAAAGCATCAGCCTGGGGGCATTTTCCACAGAACGGGGAGGACAGGAAGGGGGACAACTTCGGCCCTCCAGTGCTTCGTGGGGACTCAGGGTACCAGAGCGCGGGCTCCAGGCAGACAGCGGTGGCGCCGAACTCGGCTGTCCAGAGGGCGGTGACCGCTTCCCTGAACTGTACCGCCCTCAGCTGTAAATGGGGACAAGAGCACCCCTCTGTGGGGATTAATGCCCGATATGTAGGTGCTAAGGCATCAAGGAATGTTAGCTGCTTTTCTCTCTTCTCAATCCTGCCGGGGTCTATATTCCTGAGGAGCTACTTGTGCCTGTGGAAAGCACAAGAAGCAAGACCCGAGGGCAAAGCTCCTAATCAACTAGCAAGATTCAACAGCCCTCTGGTCAAGAGCCCCTACAGAGTTTAACCCAACTGTACACACTTTCTAACGCACTCCCACACACTTGCAGGGAAAGCTCAGACACAGTGAAAGGTGGGCAGGAGAAGGTAACTAAAACCTGTTGTACAGAATTCAATCAAAAACAACTACTCTAAAGAGTGTGTGGAAAATTAAAAGTATATATGGCAATTAGACACGCTAAATATTAGCCTATGCCAACCCTCAGCATCTAATGTCTGTCATTTACCTACCGGGGATCGTCTACAGTCTTCAACTTGGTCCCTCAGAAGCCCACTAAAGCCCACACTTCTGCCTGTGCCCAACATGCTCATTAGAAAGCCAATCTGTCTTAGGGAAGCCAAGACGGGATTCTTGCTCAATCCTTTGACCTAGCCTGAAATGAGACGATGGATGTAAAGCACTAAGCAATAAAAGCTACACATGTAAGGAATCATCATGGTGTCGTTAAGCTATGATACTGGATGTAAGCAAGCTCAACCTAAGAAGGCTAAGAGGATGAAGAAATCAGAGAGAGGAAGTGAGGGAAGAGGAACCCAAAACTTGGGGCAACCAAATCTGTCCAGGAATCATTAGCTTCTGATCAGCCGGGAGGAGCTGAAAGGAAACAGAAGTAGCTGTAAGACTGGAGACACACATCCCATCCAACAAACAGCCAGAGGCTCTTGGGGCAGGGGACTGCTCCAGTCATCGGGAGCTAGGGTCCAGCTCAAACACACTTCCTGGAGAGAAGACGACTTGTGTGTTGCTGAGGGAAGGTCTGTCCTCAAGGAAGCTACTGTGCTCTGTGCTTGGACCCTGCTGGCACTTCCACTGGCTGTTAGCAGAGGCTACTGAGCTTCAGTGTGAAGTTGTGAGGGCAATGGTGGGCTGGGCTCCCAAGGCCTGGGGTGAGGTCCTGATTCTACCATAAACCGAGGAGATGGCTCCCCATACCCTTTCCCTTTCTAAGTCTTTATTTCCTTGTCACAAATTAGGGCTAACAGAGACCCAGTGACGGCCCAGGGCAGCTGGAGGGCACATCTGAGGAGCTGGATGGAAGGTGCTTCTTGAAAGAAAGAGAGAAAGAGTTGCCATGGCTCTGGCATCTTGCAAGCATCCTCAGGGAGGGCTCTGTCTGGGCCTCTTAAAATCTCAAAGGGCATAGGGACACAAGAACTTGGGGGTCCCTGAACAACAAGGCTGAGAGGGACAGCAGTGCCCTGGGGTAAGACCCAGGCAAGTTTCTCCTCCAATGGGTCTCTGGTCTGCCTGTCCCTTGAGCTTCCAGCACCCACCTAGAAGAGCTTCTCATAGCACTTTCCACAGTGGATGGTGTCCTGGTGAATGTAGATCTGATCCAGGAGATCTCCCATGGGCTTACTGCAGATGCCACACTGAAAGGGAAAGCATGGTGGAGGTCAGTGAGCCAAGTGGAGCAGCACAAGTAAATGGGCCAGGAGAGGGCTCCGAGAGAGGTGAGCAGGCGGAGGTTGTGAGCTGATGATATGTTCTGGGCTTCCCAGCAGACAATAAAAATGGAAACAAAAACCCAGAAGCAAAACTCAACCTCAAAAACAAGCAAAGTCTAAAAGCTGGCTGGCAGGATCATCATGTCGTGGCCAGGATCCTAAGTTCAGAATTCAACGTTGGCTCCACTATGTATTAGCTGGATGGGCTTGAGAGTCACTCGAAGTTTCCCAGCCTCCATTGCCTTCTCTATACAATGGACAGAGGGGTAGGATGCACCCCCTGAGGTTGCCAGGAGTGCTCAGGGGCACAGTCCATGCAGAGCATCAGTTTGGCGCCAGGTAAAAATGACAGCAGTCCTTGCTGTTGTAGGAGAGAATGTGAACCATCACTGGCGACATGGCAAGTCCAGAGGAAGGTGACAGGAAAGTCCCCTGGAAGGGAAGGACATTTGCACAGCACACCCTTCCGGCATCGAGGCTCTTAGGGAACGCCAGTAGGGGCCTCCCAGCAGTCCCAGGCAGGAGGGACCCAAGTACCCCGTCTCCAGCCCTCTCCAGGTTCCAAGCTGAGTCCTCTGGCTTCAGCTTTCCAAAGGATGCTAGGAAGGCCAAAGAACAGCTGTGAGGCATGTCCAAGTTCCTTCGCTCATTCCTGCCAAGCACCCTTCTAATGAAAATGGGGCAAACTGTTTTACTTTTCAATTCCTCTCTCCTGGCAGTTTTATTTCTCACTGTAAAGAATTTCTCCTCTTATTCATGCATCATGTTTCTGTCATTTTAATTATTGTGAACCAGGCTTGAACCTGAACTGAGCCGACTGACAGTGCTGACCCATTTGCTGTCACCTCCGGGCACAGAGAATACTAAAGCAAGCAATGTGGGCTTTCGGAGTGCTTCACGTCATGGACAGCAGCTCCCAAAGAGCTGTCACCATGTGGTGGCCATGGGTGTAACACTACAAGCCAGAGTTTTGGTGGGCAAGGCAAGGAGAGCCTGTGACTGAGGGTCCTGAAGAAACAGTTTATACGATAACCCTGGGTCACGTGGTGGCTTTTCCTGGGATACCCCTGGCTCTGATGCCACAACCTAGGACCGAGTGGCTCCACGACCTGAGAAAAATAATGCCCTATGCTCGTGGCTCACCGAAGTGGCTCTCAGGCCCTCTGCTCCCCTCTGAGAATCCACCAAGCACGTGAGGCCCAACTTCTCTGTCACAGCAGCCCTCCTTCTGCTGCGTCTGTCCCTCACCTCAGATCCAGAACCTCCACCTTCACAAAGCCTTGTCCCAGAATGCTCAGCATCGCCATGTGGGCTGATGCACTCAAGAGCAGCCTGCATTTCAGACAAGTGCTCTGCAGAAAAGTATGGGACTTGTTATGTAAGTCCATGAAGCAGTGCCAATGATGTGCCTTGTCACCCCATGATAATCTCTGAGGTCATCTAGGCCACATGTTACTTCTCCTAGCACTCAGCCTTGCTAGTTCACAGACGCCCCAGGCAAACTCTCCACCTTGGCAATGCCAATCCTTGCTTTACTTTTCTGCCTGGTCTCAGGAGGCATTTGTGGGCACACATGGGGCCCCTACATGGCCTCCCCTCCCCCAGATGTCCCCCACTCTTCCCTCCTCTCCCTTACAGTAGGTGACCATGCTTTGCACTGACCAAGAAAACAGTAGCCAGAGGGGTCCCTCCCCTACTCGTGGCCTCCAGGAGGTTCCAGCTGCATTAAGAATAAAATCCAGGGCCGGGGATGGAGCTCAGTGGTTCTGGTGCCTGCCTCACAAGCGCAGGGTCCTCAGTTCCATCCCCAGTACCAAAAAGACTAAAATCCAAAGTCTGTGCCCTCCAAGGCCTACAGAAGGTAGCCCACAGATACCTCTGGAGCCTCATCGCTTACCATGTGCCCTCTCACTGGGCATCCTAGCTAGACCCATCTGTGCTTTTGCCCCAGTGCCTTTGCACGTGTTGGCTCCCTGATGGGAAGTCTTTCCTCAGAAACCGTTTCAGTCCCCGCTATAGTACTCAGCACACGGAAGTACCAACACTCCCTCATCCCTCACTCCCTCAGACTCGGGAGCCCACTCAGCTCCCAGTCCTACAAAGCTGCTGAGACCACACAGCTGTGCGTGGGGACCGAGCCTGCTTCATGCCCTTTGCATCCACAAGACTGCTGTGCTCTACAGGACCAGGGCCTTTCTTCCTTACCTTAAAGCAATACTCATGGCAGCAGATACCAAGATGTTCCAGGGTAATCTTTGGACAGTCTCGGATCTCACAGCTGCAGTAAGTACAGATCCCTCCAGTGGTTCTAGGAGATGAAGAACAAGAACCCGGGGATCAGGCTGGTGTAGACTTCTGACGTGATGCAGCCAGGCCCCTGGCTTGACTCAGCCGCCAGGGTTCCCAGCCTGCCATCTTCCTCTGTGCTGTGCAATTAGGACTGCAGAGCTGGGCTGGCCTGGTTCTCAGCTTGCTGCAGGCCTCTGCATTATTCCTCCAAGTCAGTCCTGGGGGCCATTTTTCTCACGCCTGGGACCAGTGACCCTCCCCTCCCAGTCCCTATACTCTGGGACCCATCCTGCCCATAGCCTTCTCAGAGGCTGCTTGGCACTCAGGCTAAAGTTTTACATACAGACTTCTGGGACGATTATCTTCCCTCTGCTTTTCCTCCCCGACAGGCTAAAGTAGGAAGTGGGGTGGTGCCAGCTACCTGGGCCACTTTAGCTCCCTTCCAAGGCCCTGAGTGCCGAGGCACTGCGGGTCTGCTCTGCCACCCTGCTGCTGGATAGAGTTCACTGTCCAGGCTCCCGCTTCCAGCACAGCCAGCTCAGTTTTCTGTGTGTGTTTGTACATGTGAGTGTGAAAGTGACTAGGGTTGTCCTTGGGGAACTCCTCTCCATCCTCCTAGTCCAGCGAGTTGGCAGTTGCTCAATGGGGCATCTGGTCTCCCACACTCCTGGGACTGGAGGCCTCACTTCATTTGTCCCGTGTTCATTCTCAGGGGCCTGACCAACCTGCCTCTCCTACGGTTTGGTCCTCAGTGTGGCCATGACAGGCGAGGGGAACTCTAAAACCTGGGCCCTAGTGGGAGGGAAGTAGGTCTCTGGTGCCCTGCCTGCAGAACAGATTAATTCTCTTGCAGGACTAGACTGGCTCCCTGGGAGGATCCCCTTGACCTTAACTCTCTCACTTGCTCCCTTTTTCTCCACAGACTAGTGGTGTGGTGCCTCTGAATGTCAACCCACGGGACCTTAGATCTCTTGATAAATGAGAAGCAGAGCCACAGTACAAACATCCCTCACCTGGGAATAGTCAGGCTCTGTGATTTAGGCCTGCTACTAGGCTCTGCTACTAACTCCCTGTGTGACTTAAGGCCACATTACTTATTCTACCCAGACTTCCTTCTTTCACTATAGCCTGAATGAACTCAATCTCTAAAACTCTTCGCTCTCCTACTCTAGGAATTTATTATAAAGACCATTCTGTGGCTGTTGTCTAGAAATGGCTTTCAGAATTGCTGGATGAGGTGCCCTATGCCCTTTCATTCAAATCAATAGCACCACACCACTCTGTACCCTTAGTTCTGCATCTCTTTTCCGTCTTCTTAATCACAGCAGCCCAGTACTTAAAAATAAATTGCCACCCACCACTCTCATTTTTAGCTGCCTTTTCTTTTGACACCTGGTCATTAAGTGACCAGTTAGGCATTAATCTAAAGAGCCTCTCCTGCTGACATGAGCCTCCTGGGCTTTCCAACACCAATTCCCTTCTCAGTAGCCTTTTGTGTCTACCCTTTGACTTAGCTGGGTTCAAAGGCTTTAGTTGCCACAAGTGTGACACCCCAATAAGGGAGGAACTAGCTTCCTTCCTAGTGTCCTGTACTACGTGACCGATTGGCAAACAGATTGGAGGTCGCAAAGCAGCAGACAAAGGCACACAGACATAGCATGGAGACCTTCTAGCTGTCTCCCCCCCAGAACTGAGGGCTCCCTGGGAAAACAGCAGACATACCTTTCCATGTGTGGAGTGCTGTCATATGGGGTCTTCTCCTTCATGTCAAATGAGTCCTCAGTGCTGCTAACCCTGCAGGGAGTACAGTGGGGGAGAGGAAGGCAAAAGATGGGAGGTAGATCACTACAGTCATGCACAGGGTGCACTCCTCCATTAGCCCTATGGCTACAGGCTGAGACCTGACTGGATTTGACAGCCATCATCTGTAACCCTAAATGGCATGCAGTGCCTCTGGAGCTGATACCAAGGAGACATACTTCTCCTGAAGAGCTCTTTCATGGGGCACAAGAAGGCCCCCTGTGGTGAGAGAGATAACAAGGCAGGCTAGATCCCTTGGGTGGACACCATTGACTGACCATGCCCAGAAGGAAGGGCAAGGTGGGATTTAGCATTCACACACAAAAACCTGAGTGTGGAAACAAACCAGGTTACAGTAGTGATTCACTATTTTTTCTTCATGTCTGGTGGATTCTACTACTGCAGACTCTGGGAAGAAATGACTCATTCAAAACCAAGGAGGACTAGTTTTTGGACTTTCTTTTTTTTTTCTCCTTCATTGCTTTTTTTTGTGGGTGTGTTTTTTTCTTTTTTCTTAATTTTGTTCTGATTTTTAATATTTCTTCTCTTTCTCCTTGATCTCTATTACTTTTATCTAATTCTATTAATTTTCTTTTACTTCTTAATAAGATCTTTTATCTCACTTTCTCTCTTCCTTTTCATCTTTTTTCATGATTTTTCAAATTTTACTTTTTTCATTCTCCTATTTCCCATTCCCTCCATCTTTACTATACTAGTATTAGTATTTAAGATATATTAACCTTTAGATATTTAGCTATTATTGTTGAATTCTTTTCTATTGTTAATGGTAGTATAATTGTTGCATTTAGTAGATATTTCCTGGATGTTAGTATTTGCTTAGTCTTTGTGTCTACATTATAATTATAGACCTCATATCCATGGTTAAGGGGGGCACAGGGGTAGCTTTTATTGGTTCTTACAGTGGTCAATATTCAGTCTATCTTTGACTTTATTATTGTTGTTAATTTTGTTGCTTTTGCCAGAGTGGCATAGTTGTTGCATGGTTTTCACTGTATGCCAATATCTGGTTTGTCTTTGTGTCATCAACAATACTGTGGTTCACTTCTGGAGAACCAAGTGCTGGGCCAATTACACGGCACCTTCCCCTCTTACATTAACAAAGGTGGTGGGAATCTTGGGACAGAGACCAAAGCCTATAGTTAGCCATGCCTACAGGGTATCACTGGAAATCAGATGCTAACTAAAGAGATCTCCATACTAGCAACAAAGTCTTTCCACTATAATTGACCCAGCACAAATATAAAAAAGCAAAACTAATGGAAACATAAGAGGGCAAGGCAACAAAATGTCTCCAAAAACTCCCAACTCCAGAAAGTCAATCCAGGGGTGTCAATGGGAAAAAAAATCAAAAGTCCAACAGCTAACCTATAGGAAATGATAAAAGAGGAGACAAAAAAGCAAATCAATAACGTTCCCAGTGAGCTCAGGGATGATATAACTAAACAGATACTAGATTTAATAAACAAAAAAATCAGTAAGCTTACAGAAGACACTGATAAAAAGCCAGTTGGCCCAAACAAAACAATGCAAAACATGAAAGATCAGTTTAGCAAAGAATTAGAGTCCATGAAAAGGTAACAAACAGAAATCCAGGAGATAAACATCTCTATCGGATATCATGGACAGCAGAAGTGACTGTATGAAGACAGAACTAGGAGTTCCAGGCAGAAAAGAAGACCGGGCTGATGCCAGTGAACATGTACTCAAAGATATCTTAAAAACAAGAAGAGAACATGAAAATGGTTCCAATAGCTCAGAGCAAATGAAGATAAGATAATCTATGATTAACTGGAATTAGTGAAAAAAATCAGAGGACAGCACAAATGGCATAAAAATCTATTTACAGAAATAATAGTAGAAAACTGTCCAAATATAGGGAAAGAATTTAACATAAAGATAAGTGAAGCATATAGAATCGCAAATTGCAGTAATCAGAAGAGAACTTCTCCAAGACAAAACATCACAGTCAAAGTACCAGAATTCTAACACAAGGACAGAATCTTAAAAGCTGTTAGAGAAAAGCAAGAAATCACTTCCTGTGAGAATTACAACAGACTTTTCAATACAAACCTTAAAGGCCAGGAAAGCTTGGAGTGAAGGGTTTCAAGCCTTAAAAGAAAACAACTTCCAACCCAGACTGATATATCCTGCAAAACTATCTTTCAAGTTAGAATACAAAGCTACAATGATACAAACAGCACGGTAGTGGATCAGCGGGACAGAACAGAGGATACAGTGAAACCCCAGGCACATTCAGCCACCTCATCTCTGACAAAGGGGTGGAAACACACACTGGAGGACAGACGGCCTCTTTAGCATGTGGTGCTGGGAAAGCTGGCTGTCCACATGCAGAAGATTGAAATTTGAGCCATATCTCTCACCACACACTAAACTAAAATCAAAATGATTTGAAGATCTAACTATTCAAACAGAAACACCTAATCTGCTGGAAGATAAAATAGGTAAAACTCTTGAAGACATAGGCATAGGCAAGGACTTTCTGAACAGAACCCCAATTTCACAAGAAATAGCACCAAGACTCAACAAATGGGATCATATCAAAATGAAAATCTTCTGCACAGCAAAGGAAACAACCACCAGAGTGAAGACACAACCTATAGAATGGGAAAAATTCTTGACAGCTAGTCTTTGGATACAGGATTAATATCTGGAATATATAAAGAACTCAAAAACCTAGACCCCCAAAATAAATGATCTAATCAAAAAATGGTCAACTGAAATAGATAATTCTCAGAAGAAAAAGTACAAATGACGAATAAATGCATGAAGAAATATTCAACATCTCCAGCCATGATAGAAATGCAAATTAAAACAGCGCTGAGATTCCATCTTACTCCAAAAAGAATGGATATCATCAAGAAATCAAATAATAACGAATACTGGTGAGGTTGTGGGGGAAAAGGAACCCTTCTCCATTATTGGTAGGAATGTAGACTAATATAATCCCTAAGGAAATCAGTAGGGAAATTCCTCAAAAAAAGTAAAACTAGAAATTCCATTTGACCCAGCTATTCCCCTTCTAGGTATCTTCCCCAGAGTTAAAGACATCATGCCACAGTGATACATGTACACTCATGTTTACAGCAACACAATTCACAATAGCTAAATCTTGGAAGCAGCCTATATGTTCATCAACAGATGAATGGAGAAAATGCACCACAACAGAATGCCTCTCTGCTGTAAAGGAGGATAAATTTGAGCCATTTGTAGGAAAATGGATACACTTTGAGATCACAATGTTAAATGAAAAAAAATCAGATACATGAGCTTAAATATTGCATGGTTTGCATTATATAAGAAACCCAAAGTTTAAATTTATTAAAGTGCAAATAAAAGATAGATAATAGGAAACAGGGAGATAGATCTTTTGCAAACAGGAAGAGGACCATGAGATGGGTAAGTGTTAGGGTGGGGTGGGGAAGGGATGTAAAAAAGAATTAAAATGTGTTATGTACATGTACCAACTCCCCATTATGAATATAATAATTAAGTACTGGAAACATGTACTGATAAAAATTTTAAAAATAAATACTGCCAGGAAGGGACACCTAACTAGCTACAATCCCTGGGATACAAGGTGTGAACAAAATATATGGTGAATGTTTAAATTATAAAATATATTACAGTAAAAGACACACTGCCCTCAATTCCCCTCAGAATCCTCCCCCTCACTTTGAGCACACTTATCCCGTCATTCTTGCCACTTTCTGCATGTTTTATTTTTTTATATTATTTATTTTTTTTGGTACTAGGGATCGAACTCGGGTCCTTGCACTTACGACACAGGTGGTGGAACCACTCAGCTACATCCCTGACCCTTCTTGCCACTTTCTGAAGCATTTTTGGAAGTCCTCTTTCATGAGTATCTTTCTGAGGGTATGATGAAAATTCAGTGAATGCCGCTGCTGAGTGCCATCCAATAGAAAGGCAGGCTCATAAAACACGATTTTGTGTCCTCATCCACCTTATTCACTGGATTTGGCACCGTGTGTCTTCCCCACAGTTAAAATGACCATGACAGTTAAATGCTTTTTCTTGATGCAGCCACAATAGCACAGCTAAAGACATTCATGAAAGAGGACTTCCAGACCTGTTTTGGAAAGTGAGAAGGATAATAAGATAAGCGTGTTTGGTGTGAGAAGAGTACTTTAAGGGGGATTAATGGCAATGTGTCTTTTATTATAATAAATTTTAAATAAAACCTGTGTAATTCACTGTAATTTTTTTTATCACACCTATCTATAAATGGGGCCATTTCCCTGGGAGCCATGTGGTGGTGCCGTGAAGTTCTGTGACCTGCCCAAGGCCATGCTTTGAATAAAGGACAAGCTAGATTTTAAGCCAATGTCCTAGTTTCTTCTCAGCATTAAGCTCATGTATAAGCTTCCTGGAAGGCAAGGCAAAAAGGGAAATCGCCACGGACTATGCAATTTTCACTGTACGCTACAGAAAAGTCTACAAGTTTTTCATAAGACGTACCATTTTGACTGATTGCTAAATTCTATTTTAAAACAGGTTTAACTGTCAGAGTCCAGAGTGTGGGACTTGGAGAAGCACAACTGGGAGATGCACAGTTCAGTCAAGTGCACCTCAGAGAGGCCAAGGCCAGATGGCAGCAGAGGCCCCACGGCTATCCTGGAGGCTTCTCACACATCACTAGGGCTTCTCTGAGCACCATGATGGGGACAGGGACGGAAACATGAGTAGTGTCAGGGGATGGCAGAGAACGCTAATGGGTCTGTGGTATCTTTTCTGGGTGAGGAAAATGTCCTAGAATTGGGTAGTGGTGACCGGGGCTCGCTTGTGACTACACCAACGTGTGCTGGATCATACACTCTAAATAAAGGGTTCGCCACTGAGAACCACCCCAGGGGAGTGCAGGGGAGGGCGCCCAGGCTGGGGGACGTTAAGCACCCAGGACGGGCTGGCTGAGTCCACTGTGCTCATCTTTCCAGGGCCCCAGTGAGAGCCGGTCTGGAAACCCCCAGAGGCCCAAGCCTGAAGTAAGGTTGGGACGCTCCTCGGTTGTGCAAATCTTCACCGCTGCAATATGGTGCTGGGTTACCAAAAGTGTGCTCAGACTGCGTAGGTGGTGGAGCACTGCAGTGACACTAAGGTACCCTTCCATAGGGCACTAGAAAACAAGCAGATGAAAGGGTGATCAGTAAAGAGTGGCACGCACGTAAGCACTGCACTCACTCGTGTGTTCGAACCAGGCAGCCAGGCACGGAAGGTTGTGGGGGCTAAAAGGCTCCTGCAGTCTGAAATAAGATGGAATTAACTAGTCTCTAAAAGCTCCACAATAGACACACTCAGGACTTCGCAGACAAAGCAACAAAGGCGGGCGGAAAGAGATGGCGCCGGTGAACTGTAAAGAGAAAACTCAAAGGCACCCAGCTGGGTAGAGCACCTGCTGCGGCCAAGTGATTAGCCAAAAGCTATTCTGGGCCACGCCCTGGGGGAGGTACTGAGGATGCCAGAAGGAGGGTCCCTCCGAGCCTGCTGGGAGAAGGCCTCACAAGGGAGCCCTGAGACTTGCTCTTACCTGCCCTGGAAGGAAGATGCAGGCTGCCCAGAAGACACTTCCCTAGCATTCACGGACTCCTTCACGAAGAGAATCCCTTTGCTGCAGAACAGAAAGAAGGTCACCACAAGGAGGGCTCAGTCCACCCCTCCCACACACAGCCCACTGGGAAGGAAGTACCGAGGCTTGTGGGAAGGGCTAGCTAGGGCCCAGGTGCTGACAGGATCCAGATGCCAGACTCCAAGGGCCACAGCAGACAGAGCTGTGGGCTGCTGGCACCATGGCGGCCTCAGCGTGTGTTTGTACTGACAGCTCTAGAAAGAGGCTCCCTGCGGTGTGTCCTCCTCCATGCAGACCACCAGGCCTTCACCTGCTCCCCAGACTTCTGCACTTCTGCCTGCTGTCAGTGGAGGCCTTTTGGGTCTCCCCACAACACACACCTCACTCGGCAGGCTCCTGCAGCCTGAGGTGACTACGAGTGTGCAAGAGGCAGCGGGCACATGAGAGACAGACATGGCCTGGGCTCCTGCTGGCCTTCACACTCGTGGTGCTCAGGGACGACAGCCAGGTCCTTGGGGTGGCAGGGCCCAACTACTGACTGCATCCACTAATGTGCCATGGGGCCTCAGCTTCTCTGTGCTTTCTTCTTTGTTTGTTTGTTTGTTTGCCATGCTGGGGATCAAACCCAGGGCTTCGTGCATGCGAGGCAAGTGCCCTACCATTCAGCTACGTCCCCGCGGCCCTTTCTTTATTTTTTATTTTGAGACATTGTGTCACTAGTTGCTCAGCATGGCCTCAAACTCATGATCCTCCTGCTTCGGCCTCCCAAGTAGCTGGGACTACAGGCCTGCACCACCACGTCAGGCTTTCACCTCTCACTGGGATGTGGAGAAGGCAGTGGGGTTGCTAGGACTATGTTCAGGCCTACAAATAGGAGTTTATATTGGAGGAACTAAGACTGAATTACGTGGCCACTTAGCCAACGGGCTGCTGGGAGTTGGGGAGGCATTACAGGGGAACCACCCTGAGCCCACAGAACACCCCCCAGTGTGCCAGTTATCCCTTCTTACGTGCTTGAGCCACCGTCCAAGTCACTCAGTGGGGCTGGAATATAAAGGTCAGGCTGCTCAGAAGCCGCACTGATGGAAACAGTGACCACGCAGCCTGAAGGACTTTTCATTCTGAAAGAAAAGGGAGGGCGAGCATGTCAACGCAGGGACCTGACATCCTCCTGGGCCGAACAGGGTTTCCCAGCCCACGCTCCACGGGTTTAAACAAATGCCAGTGTGTGTTAAACAGTGTCCGCAGAGCCCTCATTTGCCTTTGCAGTTTCCTCAGAGACGGAGTGGAACCCCTCACTTCATAGGTGAGATGGATGGAGATGGGGCCCGGGTCACCAGGAGTCGATGGATGACAAGAGCCCTGTCTTCCAACGTCTGTCTGGACTTCTGAATGTAGCGGGGGCCGAGACCACTCTGAGCCACACAGGGGCTACTGGGGATGTAAGTGAGGAGGAGCAGAAGGGGAAGGCACTATCTAGCTCACCTCCTGCCCCCACCCCGTGGAGAACCCAGAGAGCAGAAGGCCTGGGAGAGGGCCAAATGGATGTGGGGATCAGTGAGCAGCAAAGCCCCGTGTGCCTCACTCCAGAGGTGCCCACCACCAGCAAAGGCAGGAAGCAGACATGGTGGTTTTTCTGAACATGTGCACCTTGGCTGCAACCCCAGCCCTGGTCCTGGAATCTGACCTCTCAGGCAGCTCACAAGGCCATTCTCGGCCAGGCCCTTACTCTGCCTGCCCTGGGCATCCAAGGTCACCACAGGGCATTCTGTGGGCACCACTCCTGAGTGCCTATCTGTTCTTTCCAGCTCGCATCTGCCCACCTTGAAGTAGCCTTGGGCCACTGCTATGGGCACACACTGCCCTTTGCAACATGCTGCCACTCCGCTCACACACTGTGTATGCCCACTTCCACAGGACTGTGGAGTGTCACCTCTTGCCAAAGAACCTTATGCCCACGACCTCAATGCATTTAAGACTGGCGAGGAGAAACACTCATAGCCTAGCGCCCACTTGGCTCTCCTGCCTCATATTCTCAAACTGTCACGTGCAACGGAACCTCCCGCCACACTAACTGGCCTGTTGTTCCCCGGATGTGCCAAGCACTCCCACAGCTTTACAGATAACACTCTGGGGCCTGTCTTCCCACTGCGGGGTGTGTGAGCCTCCCTAACCTCAGTGGATCCCCTCATGCTGCGCCTATTTCTACAGCACTCTGCGATGCAGGCATGTACCATGGAGACTAGAAGAGGTAGGCTGGCTGGGAGAGAGGGTCCCACGGGAATCTGGAAAGACAGGCAGGGATGAAATGCAGGGCCAAAAAGTGAGACGAGAACTGCTCACAAGAGATTCCTCTGTTGATCAACAATGAGCAAAACTCTGGCATCCTGCGATTCTGTCCAGCAGAACAGTCAAGGGGACAGAAGTACTGAAGGAATAGGTGTTTTTAAAACTCCCATGGAGACTCCCACAGGACAGCAGTGTCAGCTACTAGGGCTCTCCAGTGCTCCTCGGTCCTCACAGGGAAACATCCCACCTCTCTCCCAGTAAACAGCCTCAGGCCTGCTATCCCACCTCTCTCCCAGTAAACAGCCTCAGGCCTGCTCCTGCCTCCGCTCACTTCACTTCCTACACTCCAGCCACACAGCCTGGCCTTTAGGCCCTGTCCCCCCTCTCTGCACAAGCCGTCTCCCCTTACTAATGAGTTAGGAGCTGAGTGTGCTGGTAGGAGACGGAGCCTAGCTGGAGGCAGGTCACTGAGGGCGTGACCTAGAGGGTGTATTCTTGTCCCTGGCACGTCTCTTCTCTCTCTGCTGCCATGGGCTGAGCAGCTGTCCACTAGACCCTTCCACGATGCCATTTCTGCCTGGACCCAGTAGATCATGGACCGAACCCACTGGAACAGTGAGCCAAAATAAACCTCCTTTAAGTCATGGGTGTCGGCTATTTTGCCCCAGTGACAGAAAAATGACTAATACAGACACACAGACAAACCAGAGGTCACAGCAAGTCAGTGAGTCAAAATCAGGTAAGGGAGCCGGAAAATGGCCACATCCTGCCTCAGATCAGAAGCCTTTACTACACCTCACACTGGGACAGGAGCCAATGGTGGGTTCCTGGGAACCAAAGGTGGATGTGGAGGCCAGAAATCTCCATCAGAGATGGACATGAAGTTCACCTGGCAGGAATGGGGAGCATATCATCAAATCTTGACATTCTCTCATGCCCTCTATATCCTGCTTACGTACAATGCGACAGCTCTGAAGACCTTCCAAAGAGCACACTGGAATCGATCCAACAACTCCAACATTTCCTGGAGAGCTCACAAAATGATTCAGGATGATGGACAGTTTTAGATTGCTTAAAACACCTATTTTCAATCCAGAGTATAAATAAAGAGCAAAATAGATGATAGCATGAAATAGGGAGGTACAGTAGATCCCCTGCAGATGGAAAAGGGAACTAGAGAGGGAGGGATGGGAGAAGGAAGGGTGAGCAGTATTTAAAAAGTGAAGGCACATTATGTACATGCACCAACTCTCCACAATGAACACAAATATTATGTACGAAAAGCATATACTAATAAATGTAAAGAAAAAACTTAATTTTCTACTGTGAAAAAAATTATAATATTGAAGAAAATAGGTTTCAAACTGCAGTCATCATGCTTTGGTGTGGATGGCACTGTTCCACTGAGGCCAGGAGCCAGAAAACTACCACTCTGGGAGATGTGGGCTACACACAGGAAGACACATCAGGGGGCTGGCACTATCTTCCCTACTCCCTGCTCCTCTGCAGTGCTCTACCTCTCTCCAAGAACTAGAGGCTCCTGTTTCCTCAGGCCACTACAGCCAGCCGCCCGCAAGCACTGCACACCCTAGGTGAGTTACTGCCTCAGTGCTGCCCAAGTGGCCAACCTGGTGGAGGTGGCAGTGGAAGAACATAGCCAACTGGCAGCCTTCAATTCTGGCAGTGAGTCCCATCCACACCCAGCCACATGTTCCTCTGAGGCCTTCCAACTACACGAATGGCAAAAGCACCCCTACTCCCCACCCGACCCAGGCTTTCAGGTGCCAGCTGGCTGCTGGACAGCATGGTCTGGGCTGGTGCTGGTCATGGTCATGGTCATGGTTGATTTCATGGCTCCAAAGTTGAAATATGTGGGGACCGACGCTGGGATGCTAGTTTCTGGCCCACTTCCCTCTGGCTCCTACACACTCCCACCTGAGGAGGCCAACAGGCCTGCCATGTGTGTGCGTGTGTGCATGGGTGCATGTATCTGTGCTACAATGTGGTCCCCGACTGAAAGCCTGGCTCCAGGCAGCAGGAACCCAGCCCAGCCCGACCTTACCTGCTGCCACTGCTTTCCTGCTCCAGGAGCTGCTCAGGGCCGCTGGGGCTGCTCTGTCTCTCCGGGGAGCTGACAGCTCCGGGTTGCTGCTGAGCGGGGGCAGTCGGGTCTCTCTCGCCACAACCTGGGGCTCCGGGCCTCTCCTGCCAGGCCTCGCCTGCCTTGGCGGTCACATTCTTCCCCTCGTGTGAGGCTGAGGCCCTGAGGAAGAATGAACGCCCTGTGGAGGGAGCGCTGCGGGGCGGCCCTAGCTCGCACCCTGCCACCTTCCCTCAGGGCCCCGCCTGCCCTGCCACCCCTGCTTCTCCTGGGTGCCACCATTGCCGGAGTCCCACAGCAGGTGCACACCCGAGGCACCTTGGGACAGGCGGCCCCGGTCTGTCCAGGGGAGACCTGCCCGTCTAGCAGGTTTCTGCCTGATTCATGACTAATCATTTAGAAGTAAAGCCATAAATCCTCTATTTATGTCTGTCTGTATGCTTGATTTTATATATGTATATTACCCTACATCTAGATGATACTACCCAGTTTACAAAATATCTTATCTTCTAATTGATTTAGAGATAGACATTTACAGATTAAACCTAAAATTCCCATAAATTGAGGAAACTTTTAATTCTTCCAATATAAACAAAAATAATATTCTTTAAAAACTAACCCAAATGATTTAAAATTCAAGTTCACAAAATTCAGGTAAATCTGTGGCAAACAAGATGAATTTTCTATTTTTAATAGAAACACCTACGTTGCCTGAGTTTGCAACTACATATACTGCAAGAATATATTGTATGGCCGGGGATTTAGCTCAGTGGTTTCGCCGCCTGCTGCGCAAGCGCAAGGACCTGAGTTTGATCCCCAGTACAAAAAAAAAAAAGAATATATTTTATTCTATTTGAGTACATTCTTCATAGACATAAATAGGCTTACTGTTCAGATAAGCTAGTATTACATCTCCTAGATGTTTAAGATTATAAAAATGTAAATTTGCTTTTAGCCAAACTAAGTCATTATTATGGCACACTTTATTTCAACAGTAATTGCAATATGTCAGTTTAAAGATAGTTTCCAACATGTTTTTGGCAACTTAAAACCTTAAACTTATGCTAAATTAACTAACAAGTATTCATTATATACCTACATCATTTATAAGTAGGGTAAAATACTAAATCCAAAGTTTATATAAGAGCTGATCAAAACATACGGTGTGTGCTTTAAAAATTTTTACAGTAAAAGACACATAGCCATTTATTTCCCTCACAATTCTCCCCCTCACGTCAAACACACTTATCCTGTTGTCCTTGCCACTTTCTGAAGCAGCTCTGGAAGTTCTCTTTCCTAAGTGTCTGTATGAAGCATGATCAAAAACAGAGTGAATGCTGCTGCCGAGCGCCACCCCACAGAAAGGCAGCTCGTAAAAACATCACGCTGTGTCCTCGTCCACCTTATTCACCCGATCTAGCACCATCCAACTTCTGACTCTTTCCCAAAGTCAAAATGACCATGAAAGAGAAATGCTTTGAATTGAGGCAGCCACGGCAGCACAACTAAAGACACTCAGGAAAGAGGCCTTCCAGAGCTGCTGCAGAAAGCGGCAAGGATGGTGGGGTAAGTGAGTTCAAAGCTGGGGGAGTGCTGTGAGGGCATTTAGGCCAATGTGTCCTACTGTAATACATTTTTTAAATATTTAAATATTCATAGAAGTTTTTGATCATACCTCATCTAGTTTTGTTTATTTTATATGGTACAGAGAGGCTATACATAGATCACTACATAAATACGTTAATTTGTCTATAGATGAATTGAAAATTATAAAATCCATGTAACTTTAATAAAGGTTATGGGATGTATACTCAGAAGCTTTACTAGTATGTCACAAAAGGCTGGTGTGTGGGCTGGGATTTAACTCAGTGGTTTCGCCGCCTGCTGCACCAGCACAAGGTCCCGAGTTCGATCCCCGGTACCAAAAAAACCCCAAAAAACAAACAAAAGAAAACAACAACAGGCTGGTGTATGACAGTTCATAATTACCTACCTCTGGAAAAACAGAGTCCGCTAAAAAATGTATGTACACTTCAGGAAAAGAAAAATAGTAGGGTGTTTTTTCAACAGATGGTGTTAGCCTCCTGTGGGGGCCCCTAGAGGATGTCGTCGTGTATCGCAGAAGAGCCACTGCACTGCCGGCCCTTAGAGGAGAAATGGAAAATGCAGGAGAAGCAACCTCAGTGACCAAGGCTACCCAAGCAGCAGCTGGCCGTACTAATAAGTCGCTGGAGGCTCATGGCCACCACTGTGAGGGCAAAGGTAACGTGGATTAGTCTCATGATGTCTCAATAAACGTTTTATTAAAATACGGATATAAGTTTTTCTTTGCCTGAAGTGTATACACATCTTTGTTGGTCTCTGTAAACATTATTAATGGTTAAAATTATATTCAATTATATAAATGAGACTGCTACAAATAATAATACAGAAGGAAAACAACTGCTTGCAAGGTATGCAATACATATTTTATTAAGAAAAAGGGACAATTTTGTTCTAATTTAAAATAACTAATAGGTTCAACAATATGTAAGACAAAATATAAATTGATAATTTTTAAATTATATGTTTCACAAAAAAGAAATTTTATTTTTAAAACTGACTAAAATTTACTGGGTCTATAGGACTTTTAAAAAGCTGCAGTGGCAAATATTTTACTGATGCAAATCTATAATTCGGTTTTCTCTGTTAAAATAACAAAATTTTCTTGGATCATTGGCCTGCTCCTAAAAGACTGTAGTATTTGTGGGGACTGGGGATGTAGGTAACTCAGTGGTGCCTCCGCCTGCCTTGCAAGAGCAAGGTCCCTAGTTCGATCCCTGGTACCAAAAAAAAAAACCCAACAAAAAACTGTAGTATATCCTTCTGAGTAATCTATCTAAAAGCCAAAGATTTTGTGTTTTCAAATAATGCCCTCTCCTTTATATTGCCTTTATCATGCCCTTAAGCATTTTTTAGTCTTTTCGATTCTAAAGTTGCTAAGGTTCTTCATAATCATTTTAACTTCCATAGTTACTTTAAAATTTTTATTTTTATTCAAGATATAGCCAAATACTATTCCTCCCTAGTCCATAGTCCTATTTAATCAAATGTTTGTGATCTCCTGACAACCTCTACATTTTACTTTCCTAAAATCAAATTGTAAATATACTTTACAACTGAAAATGACAGTAAGATTTCTCAGAGGGTCCCTGGACAATTCCAAATGATTTGTTTTCTCACCTTGGAACAAGAGAGATTATAAAAATAATCGAGTTTATTTAATATTGCATAAACTGTACTGTCAAATCCAAACATGCTAAGCATTCCTCACAATATTAATTTTAGCCAGATGTGATGGCACACACCTGTCATCCCAGCACTTGGGAGGCTGAGGTAGGAGGACTGCTTCAAGTTAAGGCCAGCCTGGGCTACATAGCAAGACCTTGTCTCAAAAAACCAAATTAAAAATTAATTTTAATAAGTAAAATGTTGTTTATACAAATACTTCAGAAATTATACAAAATTTCTAACTCACTGCCCATGATGTTTCTACTTAACTGAGTCCTGGTGCTGCTTTGCCTGATATTAGACTACAAAAACACAATGTCATCAGTAGCAATTTCAATCATTTTTAAAATGCTAAGCTGGTCATGATTTTACTTCTTTAAAGAAGTACACATGGCCAGTAAGCACAGGGAAAAATGTTTGACATCTCTGGCCATTAGAGGAATGCAAATTAAAATGACACTAAGGTTCCATCTCACTCCTGAAAAAATGGCTCTCGTCAAGACCTCAATAAATAACAAATGCTGGTGAGGCTTTGAGGAAAGGGGGACCCTTCTATATTGGTTATGGGAGTGTAATGCAGTACAACCACTATGGAGAGTCCTCAAAATACTACGACTAGAAATTCCATTCAGACCAGCTACCTCCCCCTAAAGAGTGAGACACCATATTACAGCGATATATGCATTCCCGTGTTTATGGCAGCACAACTCATATAAGTGCCTATATGCCCTCAAACAGGTGAATGGATCAAGTGTGGCATTTATACAGAATGGATACTAATCAGCTACTCAGCCATAAAGAAGGATAAACCTGAGTCATCTGTAGGAAAAGGATGCACCTTGAGACCATAATGCTAAGTGAAATAAATCAGACTCACAGGCTTCAGTATTGCATCGTTTCTCTTACATGAGAAACCAAAGTATAAATAATTTCAAGAGCAAAGTAAAAGAGAGCTAATAGGACACATGGAGATAGACCTTTGATAAATGTGAAGGGATCTACTGATGAAGGGAGGGCTAGGGAGGGGTGGGGAAGTAGAAGGGTTAAGATGCAATGTGTACACATACAAATTTCTCACCGTGAATGTATCCATTATGTATGACACATGGGTTACTGCTACTACTAGTAATAATTTTATATCTTTATATTATGTCCAGTGGATTCTAGGCCAGTGGTTTTCAACTGGAAATTCAAGTCACTTGCATATGGGATTCTATTCATACACATGTTTATGACCTTTCCTTACCACCAGTTTGATTCTATTTGGCTGCCAAATCTCATGGCTATAAATGTGTTCTTACTCTCATACGCATGTTCTCTCACTGGCTTGAAGCTTTCACTTACATAAAGCTCTCTGCCACTACTGCTGATGAAATTTTGTTAGAACAAGAATCCCCACATAGGGACTTCTACTGGTTCTTTCAAGAGGTTGAGGAATCCATTTTATTGGTAAAGTCATTCAAAACACCCAATAAGCTCCTCCCTTATCCCCCAAACTGTCCTTATCCTCGAGAGCCCCCACCCCCGGAAATGACAGACCTGGAAAAAGGTTAAAGGTCGCTGAAGGGGTGAAAAACTCGACATCCCAACACCTGAGGCCAAGCACCGACTGCCCTGTAGCTTTCTTCTGGGCCATCCCAACTATCCTCCTCTGAAATAACTGTGCCCTGCCTGAGAACTTCCTGTCCCTCGGAAATGACCAAGTCAGGCATTCTAAAACACTTCCAAGGAGTTTTCCTTGCCTCACAACTCTGTTATCTCATCTCTGTCTCTGCTGCCCTCGCCCTGCCCTCCACCCTTCCGGCCATTCCTGCTAAGTGAAGGCAAGTGGACCAAGTGGCTTTCTTCCTGGTGCAGGGCGCCCCGGGGCTAAGTGACTGCTTGAACTTGGGCCATTAGCAGTGAGCTGTGACAATACATGTGAATTGTCACCGACCAACAAAGCCCATTGGAGACTCAGACTGCGTCTGTGAGCCTTGGTCACTTAGGCACCCTCTGCCTAGCATTTGCCAAATCTCCAGGCTCCCACCACAGGGTTGGACAAAGGACCTTAGTTCCTTGCAACAGGAGAGGAGTCATGGCTGAGGTGCTCTCACCATTACCTTTCCTAGGTCTGCAACCCTTGCGCCTGCTCACCTTGGGGTGGCCCACGAGGACGACCTCCTGCCAGGTCCTCTACTGCCCGCCCACCCACCCGGCCCATCTCCTGTGCACAAGCCCCTCCAGGCGCGCTTCCTCCTGCCCTGCAGCTCCCTTCCTTGAGCCTCGTTTCCTCTACCTGCAGGGCTGCCTCCAGCTCAGCTGTCCGGAAAACCTTCCTCACCTTCCAGCCACCCCTTAGCCGTGGCCTGCACCTTTCATAACCCTAAATGCATGGAACGCTGCCCAGCGTAGGATGCCATGGGACTGGGGGTCTCCAGACTAGGTCTCCACAGGGCCTAGGGTTAAGAAGTCATCCACATCGGCTATTCCACAAGAAAAGCTGTTACTTGCTAGGTGAACCTGGCCCTAAAATACCTTGCTACCTAAGTGACTCTGCTCCAGGATAAGAAGTACAGAACTTCAGGGTGGATGAGCAAGGGGAGCTCTCTCCAGCTCGCATTTCTGTCTGCTTGAGAAACCATCAGCTCAGCAGTCGGTGCTTTGGGGCACACTCCCAGAGACCACTCAGCCTCACTTGGTCACCTGTCGCCACATGCACAGCTGTGCAGGGCAGGGCGGTGCTGGGGCCAGCAGGCATAGTGCCTCCTGGAGAGTCCTCCGCGCACTCGCAGTCCTGCCATCACACACATCCCGTTCCACACACACAGGTGCATGCCAGCACACCGTCAGTCACGTCGCCGTCACCCTCCGCATCCCTTCCTCTCTCGCGATCTCCCCCATGATCATCCATTCTCTTTATTCTCTGGCAGGTCCAACATACGTCAGGGGTGCTGGAGACTGCCTTGGGCTACCTAACCTCGGGCGGGGGAGGGGGGGGCAAAACCAACCACCTATCACAGCCCCATCAACACTGGAAGCCATCAACACTGCCCTAGGCCCAGGAAACCACTGCCATGAGTCCATTCGGAACACGCCAGCCACTAGCATGGAGCGGAGGAAGCAGCTTCTCTGGGCTGCAGTCCCCGACTGAAAGCCTGGCTCCAGGCAGCAGGAACCCAGCCCAGCCCGACCTTACCTGCTGCCACTGCTTTCCTGCTCCAGGAGCTGCTCAGGGCCGCTGGGGCTGCTCTGTCTCTCCGGGGAGCTGACAGCTCCGGGCTGCTGCTGAGCGGGGGCAGTCGGGTCTCTCTCGCCACAACCTGGGGCTCCGGGCCTCTCCTGCCAGGCCTCGCCTGCCTTGGCGGTCACATTCTTCCCCTCGTGTGAGGCTGAGGCCCTGAGGAAGAATGAACGCCCTGTGGAGGGAGCGCTGCGGGGCGGCCCTGGCTCGCACCCTGCACGCTGGCTGTCACCACCCACCCGTGGGCATGGAGGCAGGGGCTGGTCTCCTCCAGGGTGTGGCAGAGCCCAGGCAGCACTGCGCTACCCCAGGGAGCAGACAGCCCCCTCCTCCAGAGGACCTCAGAACCGCTGTGCCCTCCTCACTGAAAACAGCAGCCTCCAGGTGGAACCGACGAGGCCCAAGTATGCAGACTGTGGAGAGTCCTTCCCTGGCCTCACGTCATGCACTCACCGCACACAAAGCTGAGTATTGTGGAAAAGAGAGGAGAGGCTACTAGCCACTTCTACACTTGCACACCCCTTCCATCACCTTCTGGCCCCAAAACAGAAGGCACCGCTTCTGGAGGCTAGTAGGCCAGGGGCATGAGCCTAGAACTCCAACATTCAACATCACTCCAATCTTAGCTCCCCTGAACCCAATTTTCCAGCATCTAGCCTCTCTGAAGTCTTTCCTTTTGGCTCTAACCAGATCAAAGATTAGTAGTCTAATACAACCATTTTGAACTGTTCACATCTCTTTGAACAAATAATGTCCCTTTCACTCTTGCAGTCCCTCCACCAGATCCCTACACTGCTTGACAACCGTCATCAGCAATTTGAATTATGCTGAAAGTCTGCATGCTCCTCATGCAGGAAGAAGATAAACTTGAAACACGCTTGCTGCATAGCAAAGGGGAAAACAGCATGTTTTAGATGTAAAGTCTGATGACAAAACTGGAACGGGAAGGAGACGAGATGCTGTGTTTTATCAACTGAAGGCTGATAAATCTGGTAAAGGGAAGCGGGGGGCTTTCTGAGGATTCGTGAGTAGTTCAAGGAGCTGTTCCTCTGAAGCTGTTTCATTTAGCTCGAAGGTTTTATAAAACCAGCATCTGAAATACAGTATGTTGTGCCAGGAAGTGTCCTCCATGCTTTAAATATGCAAACACGCTTAACTCTTACCACACCCTATATGGTAGGAGCCTATCAATACCACTATTCTATACGAGAGGAAACTGAGGCACGGAAATGAACAACACAGAGCTAGCAAGTGACAACGCTTGGATTTGAATCCAAGTACTAGCGTCCACCTCTCAATCCACTATACCATACTGTCTCTACCTCTACGTGTAATGGAGCAGGGCCGAGTTAGCACGGGGCGTCTCCAAAGCCTGGAACAGGTGAAAACTAGGGCTGCCATGCTCTGCAGGCTGCCATCGGCCCCATCCCGCTCCTCATCAAAGCCTTAGGGCTGCCCTCACCTGGCTCAGCTCTGAGGGCCATGGGCACCGGGGGGCCCCAGCGCACTTCCCTTTTCACTCCTTGACCATGACGGCACCGCTCCCCGCACCTCCCCTAACCTCCGGACGGTCCACGCGGGGTCACCCCGAGCAGTGCCAACTGGCCATCGCCACAGACCACGCCATGGGGGAAGGGCCACGACAGCCCAGGGCCCATTTGTGATCCTCCGGCGCCACCTCGCGGTCGTCGCTGGCACGGCCTCTGGAGAAGTCCCGCTGAGGCCCGTCTTGCCGCGGACAGCCATTTTGCCCAGTAGAAGGTCGCATTTCCCGGCGGCTCCGCGGCCTGAGCGCCAAGCCTCAGGAAATGGCGCCATGCGCAGGCGCACTGACCACGGCTGCACACAGCCTAGGCGTGGACCAACCCAGAGCACACACTGCGCAGGCGCACACACGCTGGCCAACTGCTACTCAAAGCGCAGGTGCGCAAGGGTGCTGCACGCTGTAGCCATGAGTTATATACGCGGGCGCACACGTTCTGCGTCGGCTGCTAGGGTCCCAGGCAGCCTGGGAGAGCGGAGTCTCTGTGCTCCTCTCTTTTTTTTTTTTTTTCCCGCCCCCAAGCTGTGTTCCCTAAGAGGTCCCGAGTGCGGTGGAGGGCCAGGGATTTAACTCAGTGGTTTCGCCGCCTGCTTCGCAAGCGCAAGGACCCAAGTTCGATCCCCGGTACCAAAAGAAAAAAAAAAAAGGAGTGCTATGGAGCAGATATTGTTATATTTTCGGCCAGACAATTGTTTTGTGTGTTGGGGGGATCAGGTGCTGTCCTGTGCACTATAGAATATTTAGCATCCCTGGTCTACTCTTTAGAACCCAATAGTACTTCTTAACTGTCAGTAGTGGCAACCAAAAATGTCTCCAGATATTGTTAGATACCTCCCTAAGGTTTGGAGAGGTCGAAGAGATTCCCCTGTTTCATAACTACTACCCTGGTACAGTGGTTCTTGACCAAGACTTAGAAAGAGGAAACAGGAGCTTTTAAAAAGACAATGATGAAGGCAACCCACTTTCCGGTCCCCCTTCAGTCTCTCTTAGACAGAAGCTTTCTTTCTCCCAATAAATTTTCCTACTCTTAAAAAAAAAAGATGATGCCCAGGTGTGGTGGCACATGCCTGTAATCCCAGCACCAGGGAGGCTGAGGCAGGAGGATTGCTATGAATTCTAGGCCAGCTTGAGCTACAAAGTGAGACCCTGTCTCAAAGAAAAAGAAAAAGAAAAAAAGAAAGAAAGACAATAGTGGTGGAAGAACAATTAAATCCAAAACTCTACATGGGGCTCAGGAAGTGTTTTGTCTTTTAATACTTCCCAGGTGACTCTCAAGTTTGTGAAACACAGTCATCAGGAGGAAAGTATTCCTGAATTTAGGCCCCAGAACTGGCCAGAGGTCTGGACTTTACTCCTGCCCCTGCTCTGCACAGGAGTGCATCCTTCAGTCTCCTCCTCTGCCTGGCCCTTTCCAGGGTTTGGGGTAGATCACATAAGGCCACACAGTAAGCTGGAAGTTACTGCTTCTGGGTCTTGAGAGTTGGCTCAAAAAAAATCATAAACTAGCTTTCGTAATTTGTGCTGAGTTATTCTTTGGTACTCAACTCTGCTAGTTGGCCTTGGATAAGTCATTAAACTGTGCTACTTGGCTTGTTTCCTCCACCGTATCCATCTCACAGCGATGCTGGGAAGGCTGTAAGATGCCTACACACAGCACACTGTACCTGTCAGCCATAGCTTTCACTCTGGCTGTTCATTGTTGGTGCAACTGGAAAGAGAAAAAAGGCACACAAGACATCCATTTCCCAGCCACCCTGCCTGACCTACACCTGCTTCTTAAGTAAAAAAGCAACTACAATGGAATGTAAAAATACAAACGTGCATTCACTTTTAAACAACTGAATCTCATCTGGCCCCTCTTTGGCTTAAAATCTGAATAGGAGAAAAAAAATCTGAATAAGATCCAATCTTCTGGGCTGCGGATTTAGCTCAGTGGTGCCGCCGCCTGCCTCGCATGCGCAAGGTCCCAAGTTCAATCCCTGATACCAAAAAAAAGAAAAGGTTCCAATCTTCTTATCATGGCTGACCAAAGCCTGCTACATTAGAGGTCCTTCTCACTGGTTAAGCACACTCCAGCACAGCATTTTTAGTTTTGCAGTTCATTTCTGCAGCTCAGGTCTCTCTGCTCTTTCTAGAATTAGCTCCTTCTCTTTGCTTGCCTCAGTTGTCCCCTCCACCTCCTAATCAGGTGGCCTTCTCGCTGACATCTTTTATCTCACCACCCTGGCTGTTCTCTTCAAAGCACTGTCCTACCCAGGAGGCTCCAACACCTGACTTGCAAGCCTTTGCTCCCCATTCAAAGAGGACTGTGCACACAGATGTCCCTAAGTTTCATTGGTGGCCTCCTTTTCTACCACTCTCCCACCCAGCAACCCTCACTGTGGGCCACACTCGCTGCCAGGATGCATGAGGGTTTTGGAATCTTTATATATACTGTCCTCTCCCCTGGAGGATTCCTGTCCACCTGTCGTGATACCACTCAAAAGCCACCTCTCCACCAAGCTGGGCCCAGCCCCACCTTCTCCTGCTCTAGCACTGATGTCTCAACCTGAGCCAGGCTGAGAGTGCCTTGAAGCAGAGCCATGCCTGATTTGTCTGTGCCATCCCAGTGCTTGCTGGCTCCTGCTTATGTAGTACTTCCTGGCTGGCAGCAACACCGTTTTGCAAAAAGCTCCCTGGCCCCAGAGGCAGAGGTCAGAGGGTGCCAGCTGGGACTTCTGCCCCTGCCATGTGCCCCAGTGCAGCTGCCGTGCCTCGCTGGCCTCAGCTTCCTGGCCAAAGGCCGATGCACACCAGCTGCTCCTGTCCACCTCAGAAGCTCAGCACTGGGCTAGTGTCTTACCCCTTGGGGGCTGCCTTTGTGCCTTCCGGGTCTGCTGCAATGTCACTCTTCCTGTCGGCCAGGACGACAGAGGCTGAAGCGGTGCTGGAGCTGAGACAAGAGAGCACACAAGTCATGAGGCCTCAGACCAAAGGGCCCAGGTCTTCCCTTCCCAGCTGCCTTCTCACGGGCTGGGCTGGCTTCTAAGTTGTGCCCCTCAAGCCATCTGTCCTTCCCAGCCTCTCGCTCCCTGGGATGGAGCCCTGGAGTGCTGACTGGCTGTCCCTGGGATTTCTCACCCTGACTCCTCTTGCTGGGCCAGGATGCAGTCGCTACAGAAAAGGGTCACTGAGGCCTCTGCCACTGATCCCACTGCCCCATCAGCTTGAGTCCATGCATGTCGGTACTAAAAGGTCTGCCCCAGCAGGCTTGTCACCTGCCCTTCTTCTCCCACTGTCCCCAGTCAGGACCCTCCTCGGCCTCCCTGTCCTGTTGCGACCACCCAAGGTTAGGGTAGCATGGATCTGAGAAGTGTGCGGGGACCCTCGTTCCCTGGAGCTGAGGCTGAGCCCTAAAGGCTATGCCCAGCAAGGGGACCCGTCACTGGGGTGGTCTCCACACCCTTACCCGATAGCCACTGGTTCAGGCCGGCAGGAGTGAGAGTGGACACCTCGAACATCCTGATCATCCAGCCAAGGGGTGACGCAAGCAGCCGGGCTCAGCCTGTGGAAGGAGGTCAAGCCTGGTCCAGGTGCAGGACCTTGTGCCTGTGTCCATCCTCTCCGAGAGGGTGGCTTCTGTCCCCAACACATGAGGATGTGAGGAGCTATTCGAATGCATGCTTGAGGCACTGTGGGGTGCGAGACCCGATCAGACCCCAAGGCAGCCCGACGCCCAGGCCAGTGCAGCAGTGGCTCGGTGACCTCTTGGGGCCTCAGTGTTGTCCTCAGTGTTCTGGGAGGAGTACAGGAACTCATAACCAAGTACTCTGAACAATGGCTGCCGTAACACGTGCTCCATCTTCCTGTTCTCCCCAGGCTGGGCCCTCTGTGTGCACCTAGCTGTTCAGGTGTGGTGGGGCTCTCTTCTGACCTCGGCTTCCACAACCCAGGCAGACACGCTCACAGGGTGCCATTCGGTTGGGGCTGGGCTGGCCCGTGCCCTCCGCTCGCTCCGTCGGGAACTCAGGCGGGGCCTTGGTCCCTGAGTCTCTCTGTATGGGCTGTGTTTGCAGCCCTCGCCCCTAAGCTCAGTTAATGAACAAGCTCGTGAAGATGAGCGTAGAAGGCAGGTTGCTTCTCTGAGAAACAACCCAGACTTTGGAAAGACAATAAAGGAGTTTCTTACGAATCATTGTCAAACTAAGTAAGACAGCTGTGAAAGACCAGGCTAAAGCTCCTAAAACTGGAAGACTCTTCAGATAATCGTGCAGGTTACTCTGAGGTTTGGTTCTACTTTAAAGAAACAGAGAGGAAAGCAAAGACTGCTTTATGAGGCCACATAAAGAGAAAGAATGACACCGACAAACACTGACAAATCAAGCAACCTGGAGCCAGACCCAGTCACCTCGGACCTGAGACTTCTCTGGGAGCCAGAAGAAAGTCGTCCCTCTGCAGCATGGGGGTTTCAGAGGCTGGGCCTGCTGTCCCCTCCCACTGTGGGCTGGTGTCCTGGCTCTGGCTCCAGGAATCCAGCGCAGTCAGTGAAGGTAGCAAGGAAAGCAGCCCCCAGCGGCCTGGGGACCAGGGAGGTGGGCCTGGCACACTGGAGCTGCGGCTCCCTGGGGACACCAGCCTTGCCACTCCTCTCCAATGTCTGGTCCAAACCCTGAGGGCCTGGCACAGCTCAGAGTTTAAGGATTTGTGCCAGCATTTGTGGACCTAGGCTTTGTCCCCAGGGATGACACATGCTTTGTTTGAAACCAGTTCGGGACAGGCGTAACCTGGTCACCTCCCCCCACCCCGAATCCTCTGAGAAAGTGGTCTCTGGCTCCACTCAGAAGTCCGGAGTGCAGCTAGACACGCCAGTCCTAACTTGGCTCACCAGGGCTGCTGCTTTCCCTCTCATGGACCCTGAGAAGAGCAGTGGCCAGGGCCCCTGGTGGTCCTCAGAGCTCAGTCATGAAGTACAAAGGCACTGATTCGGTCACTTGCTCGCCAGTCTGTCCCTTCTGCATTCTCCACACATTCACTCTCCCTGCCCGTGGCCAGCCTTAGGTACGGGCTGGGCTGCCAGTGTGAGTGGGACCTGGCTGGTGCCCGTGCTGAAGGACTTTGAGGACCAGTGGCAGGGGTTGGAGACAAGGAACAAGAGTGGAGCATAGGGAAATCCAAGGGCAAAGGACACGGTGAAGAGTGGGAGTATGGGAGCAGTAGACAGGAGCCCCATTCCCAACATCCCAAGCAGTTCGGCAGCTTGAGCCTGACCCATCAGCAGGGACGAGAGAGGATGTGTCTCCCACAAGCAGCTCACCCTCTTCTCTCCAAGTCACTGTCTGCTCCAGCCAAGCCTTCTTGTGGGGACCCTGTGACTCCAGATCCCATGGGGCCATCACTCAGCCGTGTATGTGACCTGTTATGGGAAGAGAAGTGTTTGCTAACTTTTTTTTCCCTGCAGAGCTAGGGATTGAACCCAGGGCCTCCCGCATGCTGGGCGAGCACTCTACTACTAAGCTACACCCTCAGCCCTTGCTAAGTCCGATTGGAATTTGATGTTTATCTAACTTTGATGTCCTGAGAGCAGGCCCTTCCCTACATTGCTGCCCTGCATTGCTCTGATTGAAACCAAGCCCAGCCTAAGTGGATTCCAATAGCAAGTCTTTCTAGCTTCTTCCAACCTGAGGGGCTAGGAGGAAGAGCGGAGTCAAGAAACACAGTGAGAGGACTGGAGAAGTGAGCATGTGGGGGCTAATGGCCAACAGATCAACAGGTAAGACACTGGGGGCTACATCCAGGGTACCTGCCCTTCATTCCCAAGGGCTCAGAGTCCTGACTGAGGAGCAGGCCCGTGGGCCCAAATCTGTTTCTGGCTGCCAGATTCCCACTGAGAAACCATCCAACCTGCGGCCACTGCTCACAGACCCAGCTCGGGGTCTGGCACACATGCGGGGGGGGGGGGGCTCTGAGGTGACAGAGTACAACAGTAGCCTCTGAACTCACCAGCCCTGACCATGGCTCTGACTTCCCTTCGCTGACACCCTCCAACTGTTTCCCTCACTCCCTAGGGAAAGTCCCTGCTAATGCGCTATGGAGGCCCACACACTTCTGCTCACTGAATTCCCTAAACTGCCAACTTGCAGGCCTTGCTCTGAAGGCCACTGGCATAGCTGCTTTGTCCTGGAGTAAAAGCATGCTTAGTGAGCGAGTGTGGTAGCTTCCGGTGAATGGAGGGAACCCACTGAGGGCCTAGTGCTGGGATTGGGGTGGCCTCGCCAAAGTTTGGTCCTGCTATACAACTGGCTGCCTCAGGGACCTGGCAGGGGCCTGCCCCTCTGCAGGTCTCATTCATTCATTCTTTAACAGATGCTCATTGAAGATCCGCACTATCCCAGGGGACACAGCAGGAATAGGACCGTTCTGCTCCAACTCGGTCCACTGATCTTGGACCGAGAGGGCCCTGCATCTGGGTGCACGCGGGCTCTGTGTGAGGAGTCTGCTCTCTGAGGTGAGTTACCTTTCAGAATCCGTGTTGGAGCCCTTGACGGTCTTCCCACCAATGGAGTGTCTCGCGGACTCTTTGGGGCAGGGGGCCTCCTTGTCTCTGCGGCCCGGAGAAGCCCTATGGAGGAAAGAAATAAAAGTTAAGCATGCAGTAGCTGCCCATCCACAGATGAGGACAGTTGCCTCATCCCCAAATCCCAGCTGTCTCCAAGAAGAGTAAAACCTGCTACTGACTGATTGGCTGATTCACCAAACCTCGCTACTAATGTCTACTGTTGATTGGGGGCTAGTCGTGTTCTCGCAGCTTCATAGGTACAGGTACACTTTACTCTGTACAGTGACAGTGATGTCATCCGTGCCCATATTCTAGATGAGCCACTCGGGCCCCATTAAGCCACAGTGACCTATTTAGTTCTACCCGTAATAAGAGGAAGAGCGAGGATTTGGATCCAAGGTAGTCTGACTTCAGTGTTCCTTCGCAGTGGAAGCCTAACCCTAACCCTAACTCAGCCCCCACTGTTTTCTTTGAAGTTGTAAAGTGCAGCAGAGACAGTCCTATCATCATCTCACGCTGCCATCAGCAGCCACATCAGCGGCCCCGCCGCCCTCCCTGCCAGCTCTCCGCCTGGCCGCACATCCCAGGTCTCCTTCGCCTGTCTCTCCTCCCCCGTTAAGCTCACTGTTCCCAGCGCTCTTCCCTGTCTGCACGCTCGCAACCCACTGGGCTCCCTGTTCTCCCCCCATGGCATCACCTCTCACCAGGCTTGCACTAACGACTTCCAGCGTCTCCCAGGTGGGACAGCAGGATGAGGTGGAAGACAGCTGGGCAAGCGATGCCGGAGGGAGACCTGGGCCAGAGGAGGGCAGTGGGAATGGGGCACTTGTACAGTAAAATGGGCAGGGCACGTGCCCGCCAGAGAGGGAGGAACCAAAGAGGCGATGTTGTGGACGGCACTTCCTGTGGGAAGCCTTTCCTGAGCTGCCACCACTCTGGGGCTTGAGGGGTTACCTCCTGGGGACACCCTTGCCTCCTGCCGCAGACTCTGGCTTCACAAGGCAGGGCCCCAGTTTTCCCGCTCAGATCTCTCCTACCCCCTCCCTGGTGCCTCAATCCCACCTGCTTCCCCCAGGGCAGGGCCAGGCCCCCTGTGCCCCTTGCTAGTTGCGCCACTCTCTGGCCTCTTCCTCCTCAGCTCGGGGTGCCCGGAGGCCCCTCACACAGGCCATGCAACTGCCCCAGTGTCCCCACTCCACACAGCTGACCAGTCCTGTCCCTTCCTGGGCACTCAGGGCATGCGAGGAGGTCAGCATCTCAGGCTGATGTGGTTCCCGCGTGCATACGCCACCTGGTCAGGCAGTCAACAGCCCTGGCCCAGCAGGTCCCAGGCCTTTCGGGCCCCAGCGCCAGGCCGTGGCCTCACAGGGACCAAGTGCTCATTCCCTGATGATTGCTGAGTGAGAGAATGACACAGCCGTGTCCCACCAACCTGCCAACCTAGCAGGCCCACAGGGGCAGAACCGCCTGGTGGCCCCAGACCCTCTGCCCCTGTCTCTAGATGATGTGGAGTGAGACAGACAGGCCAGAGGAGCGAGCAGAGAGGCACCCGTGGGAAAGCCCGCTCCTTCCCCACCTGTGTCGGCCATGGGTGCCCTAGCGTGAACCATCCCCGCCCCATTTTACTTCTCTTCTCGCCTCCTCTTTGGCCTCAAGCCTTCTTGGTGCCATAGCTGAGCTCAGGCCGCTGACCTGCTGGCCGCAGAGGAAGGGGAGTGAAGAGGCCCCTCACCCATCTTCTACCCAGATCTGAGCCCAGCCCTCCCATGGTCATAGCAAGAGGCCTTCTGGGCATAAGTGAGATCAGATCTAGTCTGACAAAGGGAAACCACGGTACAGGCATGAGGCAGGCGTTATGGGGTCGACATGATCAGACTGACACTACAGAGAGGCCACACGGGAGTCCCAGGAGGAGGGGGGTTGAAAGGGTCAGGGGGAAGGCAGGGAGGCAGGGGGTCCCTCACTTACAGTTTCCCAGGTGGCTTAGCCACTCTCAGCTGGCCTTGGGGTTGACCCCAGTTTCTGGTTCCAGCCTAGCCTGGGTAGTGGAAAGGAAGGGGCTTCAAGGGACAAGGGCTCTGCACACCCTAAAAGCCAGGAGGAGCCAAGGACACACAGACAGCTCTGAATTCTCCCCATCTCCTCTCATGATAACAGTGTGACATCATTATTGACAGTGTCGTTTATCATGGCAAGCCCCCTCTGCCTCATTCACAGCATGTGGTGCCAGGGCACAAGGACGTGCCTGGTTTAGGGATGTCCGAGCAAGTAAAACATTCTCTCACTGTCATTTCTGTCATGTCAGAGAGGAATAAGGCCAGA